TGCAGGATCACTAATCCAATCATCATTTAATCTTTTAGCAATGGATGGGTAAGTTCCTTCCAAGATGTCAGCATTGGTGAAGTCATCTGTTGTTATGAAACCAATGTCAAACGCATCATACTGCAGTACATTAATAGCAACCATCATCAAGAAAAGATCTTAAGTGGCTACTAACAAAGAGAGTAACGATGCACTAGAGAAAATAATCCAAAAGAATCTGAAGAAAGAAAATAATGTCAAATGCATATTTTCAAAAGATGGAGTATACATACTTGGCGTGCCTTAACACCAAAATTATTTAGATAAGCTGCAAAGATCCGTGTGGACATGCACTCTCCAAATGAAACTAGATAGTCTCTTGTGCGGAGAGTTAACTCTTTCATCATAGCTATTCCCTTCAGCAGTTGCTCTAGTTCTTCTAAGTGTGCTGCAACATGTCCCAGGAAAAAAGGGGGCAAATACCCAAAGTTTCCAATTAACAACTGATCCTTGACCTTATTAATAAAATTAAAACAATTCAACACACCAAATGAGGAAATTCAGACATTTAAAAAAAAAATTCATCCCTTCACTTAAAGTTCTTACCAGAAATCACGGAGCTATCAATTCCAAGTTCTCTAACAGTCCTGAGCAAATGCAATCACACAGTTTTTAACAACAGCTCTAAGGCACAATTGAAAAAGAAAATGAGAAAGAAAAAGGCAAATGATGAGTTAACCTGAGATGCAGTTGTTTTATAAAGCTCAATTCTTCAATTTCTGACGCATTCGAGACCCCACAACTGACAGCCTTCTCCCCAGCCTATGCATACATTATACATAAATCACAGCCATCCAATCGCATTATAATTAAGCAATCAAATCACACAATTAAATAACTTAATCAGATAATAATGAAAAGTTCATTACAAGTAAGAGGTTGTTAGTGGTCTTCCCCATGGCAGAGAGCACAACAACAGGCTTTTCTTCAGGAAAACTGACAATGAGCTGAGCAATCTCTCTTATCCTCTCTGCCGATGCCAACGACGATCCTCCGAACTTCATCACGCAAGTGAATGGTGCTACATCAGAGCCATGGCTCTCTGTTGCATTCTCTTCTTCTTCTTCTTCTCCTCCTCCAAGCACAGCTTCAATTCTTTTCTTCTCGCTGTTACCTCTCAAGCTACTGCCTTTACATGCATTTTCCATTGCCGCATGGAATGATCGTGATGGTGAGGCCACTGAAGAGAGCCATGGCTTGCTCGACAAGTGTGAGAGTCTTGGAGTTCGTGAGTAGCAGGGAATTCTAACCCCGTGGAAATGCAATGAAGCCTCCATTTGCTTATCTGACTCTGTACCGAAGTTGCTTCGACGAATTATCAAATTCAGGGTTTCTGGTTTATTGGATTTTCATTTGTTTTCCAGACGTTTCTTGGCGACCAAACGCATGAGTGAAATTTCTGTATCGGGAACGAAGGGGAGGCAAAAGGGGAAAACACCAATCATTCCCCACCGCGTTTTTTGTTTATAAATGTCGTTTTACCCTAATGGATACGGTGTCGTTTGTTTGTCCTTACTTCTTATAGAAATGGAAAATTACCATTAAGCCTTCAAAAGGACTATCTATCGACTCTCAAACGGGCTGCAACAAAGTCTGAACAAAGTAACGAAATCCTGAACCTGTAAACTAGAGATTTTTTTGAATTAAAAGCTTAATTTTGAATGTCTTCTTCTTTCACAGTCCAATGTTCTTTGCTACCTTCCTGCGGTTTACATCATCATGATCAGACTCCATCTACAAAAGCTGCAAACTTTGCTCAAATTCCTTCGTGGGTCTCTCTCAAATTCACCGCTCCTTTGATCAATACCCGCCAAATAGAAAGTGGTCAAGTCGAAAATGTGCACTTGGTTTCTCTATCTAAGCAAGGGAGGCTCAAAGAAGCTCGCGACTTTCTCAAACACATGAACGAAGCAGGTGTCTCCGTCAGTCCTCAATCTTATAAATGCCTCTTTGAAAAGTGTGGATTAATGGGTTCCTTATCAGATGGAAAACTTGTGCACGATTGGTTGCGAAAAACAATTAAGAGCCCACCTGAATTTCTTGAGAATGATGCTCTTCAGATGTATTGCGATTGTGGGAGTTTATCAGATGCACAGAAAATGTTTGATGAGATGCTTCACAAGAATTTGGTTTCTTGGGTTATAATTATATCCGCTTATGCGCAAAAGGGTATTTTGAAGAGAGCTATTTTGATGTTTTCGCATATGCTAGAGTCTGGGATTAGACCGAACTCGTCTATTTTTACGAGCCTCTTAAAGTCCTTGACTGAGCATTCGCTTTTAGAACTTGGCAAACAGATACATTCTTATGTGATAAGAACAGGGATGAATAGTAATGTTTCGATTGACACGTCAATTGCAAACATGTATGTAAAGTGTGGATGGTTAGAGGGTGCTAAGCTTGTTTTTGATAGGATGGCTGACAAGAATGCTGTGGTTTGGACTGGGTTGATGGTGGGCTATACTGAAGATGAGAAACTGGAGGAGGTTCTAGAATTGTTTGCTGAGATGGTTTGGAAAAGTGTAGAAGTGGATGACTTTGTGTTTTCGATAATTCTTAAGGCATGTGCTGGTTTGGAGGACCTGATTATGGGAAGGCAAATCCATGGTTATAGTGTTAAACTTGGGTTGGATTCTGAGGTTTCTGTAGGAACTCCTCTAGTGGACTTCTATGTCAAATGTGCAAACTTTGAATCTGCTTACCGAGCGTTTGAGAGAATACATGAACCAAATGATGTTTCATGGAGTGCTATAATCTCAGGCTACTGCCAGAGTGGGAAATTTGAGGAGTGTGTCAAGATTTTTCAGTCTTTAATTTGTAAAGGTGTTACTTTAAATTCATTCGTATATACGAGCATTTTTCAAGCATGCTCTGCAATTGCAGATGTAAATTTGGGCACTCAAGTTCATGCTGATGCGATAAAAAGAGGGCTGGTTGCATTGTTGCATGGAACAAGTGCAATGATTACGATGTACTCAAAATGTGGCAGATTGGACTATGCCTATCGAGCATTTGAATCGATAGGTAAACCTGATACTGTCGCCTGGACTTCTATAATTAGCGGTTATGCTTATCATGGCAATGCCTCTGAAGCTCTTAGGCTTTTCCATAGAATGCAGGATTCTGGTGTAAGGCCAAATTCAGTAACGTTTATAGCAGTTTTAACTGCTTGCAGCCATTCAGGTTTGGTCACAGAAGGAAAGCAGTATTTGGATTCAATGAGCTGTGTATATGATGTAGAACCAACCATCGATCATTACGATTGTATGATTGATGTATACTCTCGTGCTGGGCTACTACAAGAGGCACTTGAACTGATAAAGAGTATGCCGTTTGAACCCGATGCAATGAGCTGGAAAAGTTTATTGGGGGGATGTTGGATACATCGAAATCTCGAGCTCGGGAAGTTTGCAGCTGAGAACCTCCTCCAGTTGGACCCAGAGGATACTGCTAGTTACATAATCATGTTTAATTTGTATGCTTCATCTGGAAAATGGGAAGAAGCTGCAGTTTTTAGAAGAATGATGGCTGAAAGGAACTTGAGAAAAGAAATAGGATGCAGCTGGATCACTGTCAAGGGGGAAAAGCACCGGTTTATAGTGGGTGATCAACACCATCCTCAAATAGAGCAAATATACTCAAAACTGAAGGAGCTGAGCATTTCTTTCAGGGAGGCTGAAGATTCCCTTCTAACTGAAGAGGATGTATTGAATGGTTTTCCTGAGAGGAAAGAACAGCTTCTTGACCATAGTGAGAGACTTGCTCTGGCTTTTGGGCTCATATCCACACCAAGTAATGTCCCAATTGTGGTTTTCAAGAACATCAGGGCCTGCAAAGATTGCCATGAATTTGCAAAACATGTTTCTGTGGTAACAGGGCGTGCAATTGTTGTGAGAGATTCTAGTAGATTTCATCACTTTGAGTTGGGGGAGTGTTCTTGTAGAGATTATTGGTAACTTCTGCAATCTCACTACCCACAAGTGGGGCTGGTCTTCCTCTAGCCACCATTGCATGCGAGTGCACACGTGTCTGTGTATGACAAGCTTGGTTACTGCTTCTTGCCATGTGTCTCTTTCTGGTTGCTGCTGCCTGCTGCATCAAGAGGAAGCCCAAGTCACCTCCAAGTGCATGGGGACGAACAGAAGCGATACCCAATAAAACGGAGGATTGGTGCAGTCGGTGGTGATAATAGTAGTTATTTTTTACTGCCTCTTGCAATAATTTAGTGGGGGCTAAAGTGACAATATGTGTGTTGATCCTGTTGACACGTCTTGTGTATGAGAATCTCAATATTTTGTGTGAAGAAGTCGCTGGCAAAGCGAGCGCAGCAAGAGATATTATTTCTTTCTGCTTTTTTTAGTGGGTCTCCAAACCAGCATCACCATAGAAGAACGAAAACCTTCATTTGACAAATGGACTGGACACTACGGGAAAGTAAATATCTAGACACTTAAACATATATATCTATGAGCAGAAGAGGGAAGAAAAGAAAGAAAATAACTATTAAGAATTCCAACTTCCCCAAAGTGTATTAGAATATGAGTTTTTAAAGTCGTTGAATATCAAGTTTCATATATTGAAAAATTCAGAGGGATGCACAAGAACCAGTATAATAATGAATTTGGGATCCAGGAAATCTGCTTAGATCTAAAGAATTAAGAAACAGAAACAAACGAAAACCCACCTCCTATGATTGCATCATCATTCATCACTTGGATAATTATTATGAAAAATAAACCATATACGAAAGAGAAAGAAACAAGGTGCTTTTGATGGCAGTTTGCAAGTTGCTGTTTAAGGGTAATGGTTTTGGTACTTTATGGTATTATGGGTAATTGTTATTTTCAGTTGGCGCCAAATAAAATCCTATCCACAAATCCACTCCTACTATGGCAACTCATGTATCAGCTAAGCCAGCCAATCCCAGTCATCTCTGCTGGTTTTTCTCCCCTCCTTAAATTAAATTCCCTCTTTCACCCACCCTCACTCCAACTCACTGTTTCCACTCTGTTGCCTTCTGGGTTTCGTCTCTCTTCCCATAACTCGAGTGAAAAAAAGCCTTCGCTTGCCTGCTTGCTTTCTTCTTCTCATTCTCAGGAAGATGGGCTTTTTTATGTGCAGCTTTTCTTGGTTGGCTTCATTTCTTTAAGGTGAGCTATACATTTGTATTCCTTTTTTCGAAGTCTGGTGCTTTTGATCTTCTCATGGTTTTCTGAATTCTGCATGTCTTGAAGATTTAATCAATTGAGTTTAGCAATACTTGATTTTTTCAAAGTTTCAAACTTGCTTCTTGAACATCAAATAAATAAGAGAAGTGCTCCCACCCCTACAATTCAAGAATGTATGTGCTAGAGAACAGGGCAAAATCACAACATGGCTGAGACAATCTCTGCACTGTCAACAAAACGGGGCAAATGATATTTGTTAGCACCATGAGGTGCGTATGCCCCTTGTATTTTCATTATGTCACAGAAAATCTTCTGTGCTTCTAATAAAAGATGCAATTTTGTTTAGGAGCTCCCTGGATGCAATTTAAATCACATGATCTTCTCCATCTTCAAAGTTTCAAACTTGCTTCTGGATAAAGCACTTTTGTTGTAGTAGTGTAAAGGTCATGGATATTGGACAAATGAAATGTTCCTCGAATTATGGAAAGCCTCCATGGATATTCAAAGGCAGGTAAGTGTCCAACAACACTTGGGGTTTTTTCGCCTTTTGTTCCCAATCATGAAAAAGGACTCTGCTGACTGATTGCCCTGATTTTTCTAATCAGTGCGTTGTATCAATTCCATCTTGTCAAAGCAGCAACTGTTCGTGCATGCATCCCAAAAGAGTTCAGATTAGTTGAAGCATTTGGGTTAGTATACTTAGTAACATTGTGGCTTAAATGATTGAGAGCGGTACAGGAGCATAACGTGAGAGCCCTACATATTTAGTAATAAGACCTTGTCCATATATTTGCTTTCCCAACCTAAATAGATTTGTTGGTTTCTCATCACTTTTATATGTTGCTCCTGATACTAGCCTCCGGTAAATGGTTCATATGTTTCGTGGTGTTTTAAGAATTTGATTACCAAACATGTGTTTACACGTTGCAGGTATACCCTTGGTGGCTTCTTTCTTGCCAACTATGATGACAGTCCAGCTGGAGTCTTTGATGAGGTTCATATCTTCATACTTTTTTGGCCTTGATACAAAAAGTTAATATATCAGTTTTTTTTCTCATTACTTGGTTTATTGTAGGAGTGATCCATGTTTGCTTTAGCAAAGATGAGGAAAATAATAATTTTCAAGTTTATTCAACCAGTCACTAACTGGACTGCGTTTGTTTTCTCCCTCCCAGCTCGTTGTAATTGCTGGACTTGTATGGAGCCCACCAACATCTTGCGCGTATGTTTCCTTCAACCTTATCTTTCTTCATAATAAGATCAAGAGCACACAATCTTGTTAGGCAACAATACCCCAATTCCTAAACTATCTAAAGCAACAAAAACAAAGTTACTTCAACCATCTAAAGCACCTAATTTTCTTCTCAACTGGACTGAATAATAATATCTCACGAACTTATGCCCCTCTTTAGACAAGTTCTGCGGCTACCAATTGAGTTATATCTTCTTCTTCTTTTTATTTTCTTTTGTGTCAGTTGTGACATTGTGAAAGGGTTTTTAGACTTGGTACATCCTCTTTAGCAGAGAGGTCTGACTACTGAGCTATGTCTAATGATATCTAAATAATTACTTTGTTCTTGTTTTGAAATATAGATGAAATAAAACTGTTGTGGAAACATTGGTTATGAAGTACTTATACAGAAGCAGTTTGACTTGTTTTTGTCAAACAGATGGGCAGCTAAGGTGCTGGTGAATAGTGATGAAGCTTGTGATCATGGACGAAAGGTGGGAGGCTGCATAAGCATATAAGGCATTTTGCAATAGAGCTAGTCACAATTTCTTATTGTTCATCTATAGTTCTTATGTTGCTTGTAGTCGCTTCTTGCAGGAAGTGGGGCTTCCAAGTCACGTTGCGAGGTTTTCTAAGGTACCCTTGAATCCTCATTTGTCGTCAGCTTGCATAAAATATTGAAGTTACCCTGCTTTTATATGCTTCTGCATATAGCTAACTCTTCATACTTAAGGTGGACTAGGGATGCATTTTTCACCTACATTAAGTATTCGAGAAATCATTTACTGTTTCCTTAGTCATCCATATGTAGTATGTAATGTGTTTTCTGCATAATGCAGACAATTACAGCAGTTTCAGGGAAATCAAAGAGCAAAAATATTGGATTTCTAAATGCAATTGGCATGAATGCTGTTTTCTGTGAACCAAGAGATTGTATGGATGTTCAAGTGACTGAAATCAACAATCCAACTGTAAAAGATATCTGTAATATCAACCTTACCACTTTTGGTAAGTTTGTTAATCTGAACATCTGATTTGTAGAGTGGCCACTTAATTTTTGCTTATTTCATCAATTTTCTATTGAAAACATCTCTCTTGGCATTATTGTCATAGCTTTTCTACATAACAAAGATAATAGAGCAGGGAGTTTTCATCTTAGAGAGGAAAACATAAGTTCATAACTCTTATGTTTGGATTTTTTTCTTCTGTAGTTTTCATCCTTCTGCTTGATTAAATCATCGATGTTCCTAATTACGAGTTTGGTGATGGCAGTGCCTGCATCAAATATTGGCAACTGGATGGGGCCAGCGATCAAAATGTCACTTCCAAGTTTTAGGTAAGTTTCTCCCTTGGTTTCTGTTTTGTGCATACTCCCGATGCTATTAGAGTTCGTTTTTTCCCTTATGTATTTCCTTGTGCTGTGAAATTGCAGTGGCCGTACAGAATATTATCCCAACCTTCTCAAGTACTCTTGCCAGATTGAGTGCAGGTTTCATTTTTTTCAGTTTCATTTACCTTTTTATGTTCATCAAGCTTCGTTAATGTTAAACTCTTTTCCACCAAACTTGAGTGACAACTTGGTATTGGGAAAATGTGTTATCTTTCGTTGGTTTACATGGATTTCCAACATATGATTGTTAATTTGCTTCTGATTAAATTCTGTAGGGTGCGAGCAGTGCATCCAGCAAAGGTATCAGGACCACCTTCGATGCCAAAGAGCGAGGCAGAACAATCTTCAGAAATCCATCATGCGACAGAAGAATTCATGGATAATGGCAAGAACCTCTGTGTAGCTGTGATGTCATCAAAGCCTATATTGGCATTAAAGTTCAGTTGTATGAAAATGCAGGTTGAAGCTCCAGTTGTAGTTCCCAACAGCTTTAACAACTCTCTAGCAACCTCTTGATTGTGTTATCTGTTATAATATTCCAAATAATTTCTTCTGGCTTGCTGTGATTTCAACAGTAAGAATTTAGTCTCAGCTTCTTGCAACTTTGAGTAGGACATCAACTTGTTGTCAATAGAACATCTCGCATCTAAGCTGCACGTATTCACTTGGATTTATCGAACAGACCATTGAAACAGATCAATTATTTGAAACTATTTTACAAATATGGAAACTTGAGATTTGCCAAAAGCACTTCCTTTCTTTTCTTTTCTTTTTTTTTCTTTTTTTTTTTCTTCAAGTGTTTACAAAAAATTTCTACTTTCCATGGCATTGACATCAACTTGTTGTCAATAGAACATCTCGCATCTAAGCTTCGCGTATTCACTTGGATTTATCGAACAGACCATTGAAACAGATCAATTACTTGAAACTATTTTACAAATATGGAAACTTGAGATTTGCCAAAAGCACTTCCTTTCTTTTCTTTTCTTTTTTCTTCAAGTGTTTACAAAAAATTTCTACTTTCCATAGCATGGACAACCCCCCGTGTAACATGTTACAAATAACAAACAAATGCACTTTTCATGGTCAGATGATTGAACCTTACAATCAAATTTCTTACAATCTCAATCTGGACCCAGTCTAACTGATCAGTAGATCAGAATACTTCGGGTAGAGGTTGGCCCTCCAAAAATGACTTGAACAATACAAGTGATCTCTCCGGCTGTGAGAATGGCGCTTCATGTGATGCTCCTCTAATGGTGGCAAAGGAAAGCATATTACCATAAGCTTGAGTCCACCCACCAACCTGCAGGTAAGGAAAAAAAGGAGCATCATTTAACACTTTTTAAGTTCCTAACAGAAGCACCAGAAAGTCATCAAATTTTAGTAATCTCAAATAAGAGTCACCTGCTGCCCCTCAAACCAGACTCTATAAGGCACGGTGGTATTTAGTCCTAATTGCTCTGCAAGTCTATGAACTAATGTTCTACTTCCTGTCAATGGGATAACAGAATCTTGGTCTCCACTGAAAGTTTACAAGAAAGTAAGTCAACTGCAACGACCTTTAGAAAATAGAGAATATGTGGTCTGAAATACATAAAATACTTATAAAGGGAAGAGGCATCTACCTGTAAACCAAGACCGGTATTCCTGCTTTGATGAGTTTGCCCACAATTGTGATTGTTGGTATCTCCACATCCAACAGCTGATAATCCAGTATGCTGTCATGAACACAGAAGATGATTTAAGCAAAATACTACTTTGAGATGCAGTCAAAATTTATATCCGGTGAAGAAAGTTACTTGCTGCAAACTGCCCATTGACGAACGCCAACAAGTCGAGCATGCAGTGCCTTCTGCACGTCTGGCCTGTTCAGATAATTAACTATTTCATCCTCCACGCATACATCTATTGCCTCAGTAACTTGCTGCTAGAATGAACAAGTTTAAACAATTAGAAGATAGATACGAACTTGTCGAAAATGAATCAAAATTTCAGGTTGCAAAAGATGGTTTTCACCTGAGGAAGGAGGACTTTGGATTGGGAGAACACAGATGATATACAAACATCAAGAGTGACATCATACTTGTCAACAAATTTACTGGTTTCTCTACTCACTTGGCTCATCACCCTTGAACAAATAGGTGAAACCGAGCCTCTGTAATATTCACTCACATAACGTGAGTAGTTGCAAACAGAAGTGAACATTTTGTATGTTGAATCTGATATCAATCCATGAGACCAAAAGAACTCAGCTCTGGAGTTGAAATCAGTGGTATATTCTAGGACTGGGTTACCCAACTGCAAAGAGAACAAATATTTTAGACCAAAATAGAGGGGGAGAAAGCACGAGAAATCCAAAGATGGTAATTTTGAGATTTTATCACTCACCGCAATTCCTTTCAAATTGAATTGATAATCCTTATATTGGAGCATGAGTTCTGCAAGCTGGGGAACATAGTGACCTGGATATAAATAGCGAAAATAAAATCAATAATTCCATCTCTTATTATATCCTTGATTAAGAAGTAAGCAATTCTCAGGAACAAGATGATACCAGCATAGCTTTCCCCTGTAATAAACAAGCTTCTATTTTTATATTGTGGGAATTTTTCTAACCACTTTTGCAAGAACAGCAGATTGTCCCTGGCTGTAGATAACAAGGACAAAGTTCAGAAATCATAGATGGCCTGTAAAGGTGAACTTTTGTCAACTCAGAAGCAAAAATACAAAACATCAACAGTACGCATCACACATGGCATATCTGTAAAGTGAGTGAACTAAGAAAAATTGTAGTGCAAGGCCATCATGAAATATTATTTTGAATCTTTGGTGTAAAAAGAAATGAAAAGATTTCAAATGGAACTTTGGAGAAGAAAAAAAAAAGAATATTTTCTTCTCTTTCTTTTTGGGAAAAAGAACAAAGGAAAATGATAGGAAGACAAGTTGACTTGAAATTCAGTACACAAATTGTGTTTCTTCTGCTGTTTTTAAACTATTTGCAAAAGGTTTTTCTTTCTCATCTAGCAAGGCCTCTACTTGTTAATAAAATTAGAAATTTCAAATACAGTGAATGTAAATAAAATTTCAATTAACAGAAATTGAATAATCAAATTGGTGAGGCGTGCCTGTGATGTGGTCATTTACAGCCTCATAAGAAGAAGTATCCGTTGAATAAGAGAACCCCACTCCAATTGGTGTCTCCAAGTAGAGCATGTTTGCTTCTGCAAATCAATGAGCATGTTAAATAATCAGCAGCATTGGATTGTTTTGAAACTATCCAGTAATGAATTGAAGAAAATCAAAAGGAGCATTCTTTTACCTCTGTTCCAGCTATGTTCATTTCTAACCAATACCTCTCCGCTAGGCCTAAATGGCCCATTCTCAGAAAACGCTCCAACTCCCAGAGAAGAGCAACCAGGACCTGAAATCACAAACCATCAAGACCCAGAAAGATTTCATTTTTCTGAAAACCCAATTTAAAAAATATATTAAAAAGATAGAAAATTGAGTTTTGAGTAAGAAGTAGGGACCTCCATTGAGCCAGAGGACAAGAGGCTTGGAAGCCGGATCTATTTCTGCTTCAGCAAAGTAATAGAACAGAGCTCTCTGTTTCTTCTCATCAACGGTCACATAACCCGAATACTGCTGGAACCCGACTTGGGGTTGACCCGGCAACAGAGCAATTATATCAAGCTCAGAAAGAGAAGCTCGTGCTTTCATGGAAGAAGAAGTTACGTGGAGCAAAACCAGAGCCACTACAATGGTCCTCCATGGTAGAGAAAGAGAAATCATGGGTTCAGTAGAAAGAAAGAGCAAAGAGCCTAGAGCCTAGAGAGAAAGAAAGATTCAGCTCAGCTGAAATGCTGCCCGGAGTGGGGGAAAATATAATACAAATTTATAAATAAACCCAATCCTAAACATGTATTTATAAAAAAACCCAAGCACTATTTAAACATATAAACACACCCAAAATCAACCCCAAAGTCAACTTTTTGGGTGTGTTTATAAATAGGTTTTGAGTGTGTGTAATGATGAGTTTTGGGTGTGTTTATATGTTTAAATAGTGCTTGGGTTTTTTTATAATTTCAACTCCCATTTTGGGTGTTTTAGTGAAACTCCCAAAATATAAAGATAAAAGAGGGGAGATCTTGTTTTTTGTAATTATTATTATTTGAAACTTTTGTCCCATCAGAGACTTTGGACCTGAAAGAGATGTATGCGATCATGTGAGAGACTCATGCTGGCCTCTCTCCTTGGTGTGAACTGGTCACTCACTCTCTCTCTCTCTCTCTCTCTCTCTCTCTCTCCCCTTGCCTATTGGGGGGGATGACTTGGCTGAGTCAGCAAATGGGGTGTTACTGTTGCTGAAAATGAAAAGAGAGAATGTGCTTTTAAGACACTTTATTAATTCACAGATTGTTCAGAAGTACTGTATTTGTCTGTTTTGTGTTTGGCCAATACGTACTCCAAAATCTACAACAGACGCTGCAATTGGATTCACTGCACTAAAAACTCTGTTCCATTCAGATTTTTTTTTATATCTAAAAAATATTTAATTAGTCTGTTCCATACTCCATAGAAACGAAAAGAAGCTCTAGGGGGACGACTTTTTATTCTCCTCACTATATAGCTGAACGTGACATCCGACCAGTGTAATAATGTCTCCAAAGAATTTTCCTCCTAGCCAACAACATTATTTATTGGCAAGCAATGGTAGCTCAAGCTCAAGTGAATCGATTTCCCCTTCTCCCGATATCACTCGTAAACATAAACAAAGTAACAAACTTTTTTATTTCTTTCAACTTTTACATGAAAGAAATATGGCGTGTAAATTTGGAAGCATGACTTGGGTGGAGCTCAATGCATGCCATGCCAGTCTCAAAGACATTGTTTTTGAAAAGAAAAACTTGTAAAAACCCGTGATCTGGGTTGAACTTTAAGATGACATTTTGCATCCAAAATTCCAGACTCTAATTACGGTTTATTGGCTAATAATCCAATATAGTAAACTATTTTATTAAATTATTACTCGCGTGACGCAGCAGGCTGCTCACTGGGCACCTGTTTTCCATGGTCTTGTTTATGAAACTGCGAAATACGACAAAAACATATTCCGTTATTCCGTGTCTTGTTTTCTTCTCATTTCTCAGCTAGCTGAGGTAAGGTCTCAATCTTGCTCAGGACAACACACAATTACATCCTAATCCGCATGCAAATTTTTGTTTGTGTTATCAGCAAACAAAATATACTTGCTTGTGGCATCTCTGCCATTTCGGGTCACCTTTTTTTTATAAAAAAAAAAAGAAAGAATGAAAAGTGCCTGTGCAAAGTTTAGTTGGGAAATGTGCCTAAAATGGAAGTGCAGCAATGGGCATAAGGCATTCTGTGATGTTTCTCTGTGAGTCTTGAAATGGAAGCATGGTTTCACTTTTCTGTTCAGCTTTATTTTTTTCTTATATCAATTGTTTTCCTTGAGGAATTGATGGGTTTCTTTTCATTATATTTTACTTTGTTTATATGGGGAAAAGCTGATTAGCTTTTGAATTGGTAATATCTCTTTTTCTTCTTGTTTGTTTTTTCATATTGGATTAGATTAGACACGCATGTTAGAACCCATACATGTTTTTTTTTTTTTTTTGGTAAGTACTATGAGGTGTTCGGGCCATCTTGCGTGCACTTCGACTAATCTCCACTCGTGGAACTAAGCCTGCCGCTAGCCACAAGGTGTTGCAATTGCTGGGACTCGAATTGGAGAGTAAACTCAACCGAACCCCAAAGCCTTACCTAAATGGCGGACAAACCACTGTGCCACTCTTGGTGGTTTGATTTCATTTTTCATTTGGTTTCTGTGTGTGGAAATGACAATGGATTGAGGTTTGAGCCTCTTTTCCTCTAGTATGAAAGTTTCAGTTTTGATTCATTCTAATACTTACAAAGTTACTTTACAATAAGTCTAGAAGTGGTTTGTTTCAGCAAAAATATGTATAGAAAGTCAGAATTCCATGAAAAACTTTTGACTTGACAAAATGGAAGAATTATTGACACAAGTGAAAACAAGAAAAAAGACATTGAGACTTCGAAACTCTTTTCTCTGTATGTGTTTGTGTGGTGATGATGGGGTCAAGAGGGTAATGATTTTCACTCGAGTATGTTGGAGAAAACATTTAATTTCGTACCTGCCAAAACATGCTACATGATTTTGCTTTTTAGTTTTTTTTAACCAAGCTAGGCCACCCACACCATTTTGTTTAGACAAAAGGCAAAACCTATCGAAAGGTCCTGCCTTGCCACCCACACCATGCCATGCCTACAATTCTTTTCATCTTGGAAACCTCCTCCGCCCACCACGTTGCCTTTTTCTTTTTTGCAGTCCCATCTCAACTAACTTCCATAGCAACTTTCACAACTGGAAAGAAGAAGAAGAAAAGTGTTTTTTCAGAAGAGGAGAGTTCCAACTCCAAGTCTTCCTCCTAAGTTCCTAATCCAAAGAATAATGCAAGCCAATATAATGATTTCAATGTAATAATTATGGGGAAAACCATGATATAGAAACGTCCAATTGTAGGGTAATCTTGTTTGAATTTCAAGGTGAGTTTGCCAAATGTGTAATTCTTTAATGTAGTGGATGAAGATTCTAAACAAATGTAAAACAGGTAGGTGCGTATGGGTAAGGGTCCCCCCATGTCACAAAATAGAAAGGGAAAAACTGTTAGATAAGGGTATTGGGTCAAAATCACCTTTAGAATTCTGGTGTCTTTTATCTTCTTTTTTTACTTTCCTATGCGTACCTTTTCACCAAAAGAATCCTTTTTTTTTTTTGCTGGGGGTGTGCACCAAGAAGCCATGGCCATGGGCCACACTATTATATTCACATGCCCCATCCATTCTCGATAAGTTTTAGACATCTCTCCTTGTTTGGTTTCTTGTTTGCTCAGTTGCCCATGCTCCTGTGGTAAGTTTTATGTTTGGCCCTACAATATTTTAGTTACAGGCCTTCAACAAAACCTGCTGCGCGTGCTAAGTGCCATGGACCGCATGACAGAGACAGAGACCAGAGAGAGAGAGAGAGAGAGAGAGAGAGGCCATTAACATCCAAACAATTTCACGTCAAAACTTGCCCTCACGTCAAAACAATTTCACAGGCCATTACGTCCAGTTCAGTTATCATATGTATAATTTCAATGCAGAACGTAATTTTTGAACATAAATTGTGAGAACATTGCAATGGCAGTATTCAACTGCCTCCATGTTAAGTCAGAGTCTCAGAGAGTATGTGGGGAAAAAGATGTCAATGGTCCACTTTCCAGACTCCTTGTCTCAAACCAGAAAGAGCCGTTAAAGATAGTGGACTTTACGATATGGGCCACATTCTTATTTAGGGCTTCAAAACCAGAGAGTGCAGCCTAAATGGTCAAGTTTCAAACAAATATACACAGAAGCTTCAATCCAAAGATATCAGCTGATATTGTTTCATTTATCAAATGTCGGAAATGATAATCCTGGTGGTAATCTCTTTTTGGAGAACTCTATGCTGCGAGGTTCCCAATGATCATAGTAGATATTTGATACAATTTTAGATTAGCTCCAGTGATATCAGAATTCAAATCAGAAGGAAAAATAAAAGGCATATTTGAGATTCGATTTTGTACAATTGTAATGAACACTGACAGTGACAGAGTCCCTTTGAAAGCACAAATTTTAAAAAATAAAATAAAAAAGGGTACCCCTCGATTGTGCTTCAACAAAACCAATTAACACAAATAAATGAAGTAAAAGGAAAAATGCATACAACAGCACATACATCTAAGAGATCTTTACTATCAAGCATAGCTTCTTCACCGTGGAGCGGATTTCTGTGCAATAGGCATGGAAGGGTCTTGATCGATTGCCTTGCGGGATTCTTCCCACAGCCGGTGCTCAATTCCCAATTTCCTGAGTTCCATCAGCCCTTCCTCGACTGATAAAAAGAACTCATATAAGCAAAACTACAACACTGCCATATTGAATCTCAAATAGAATGCATTGATTTTGTGTGCAAGGACCACGTGTGCTGATAAGAGAAATACAAAGAATCTATTGTGCCTAAGATTTTCTTCAAGGATTTACGCGAGGGAATTTCAAAGAGCACCATTGAGTATGCAAGACCAGTGAAAATCCCGAATGGGAAACAGAAAAAAAAAAAAAAAAAACATAAATATAAAAAATGAGAACTAAAATTGATGTTCAGGCAATTTTCTTCCAAGATAGCAACTCCACCATCGTTAAACTCAGTGAAACACAAAATTCTTGCCAGCAAACTAAAACTCACCATCAACAGCGTCATGTGATGTGGGTGAATGCCTACTGCGGTTAATCCAAAACTGAACTCTTTCTTTGGCAATCTCCTCCTCTATACCATGAACTTTGGCTCTTCTCCAAAAATAAGTAAGCCATGCCTATGACAGTTGGATATATTCAAAATAATTGCATTAACATGATATAAATAACTTGTCCTTGTGAAAAACAAATGCATAGACTAATATGTTTATTGTACCAAAAGAAAGATGATGACTATTAAGTTTGAAGATTATGATAAGAGACTACTTGAACCATGTGACATAAACCATATTATTAAGTTGGCTACAATTCAAATGCCTGTGTCAGTTGACTAACAAACTGGTATATTTCTAATTAATAGGCTAGAAACCATATTATTAAGTTGAAAATTTCAGCCACATAGTTGGCTCAAAATAACATCCGTTAAAAGAGAAGTTCAGCATTTTAAGTGCACATATAATTTCGTACATACAACTGAAGATGGACAATTAACTAAATACATATACACAAATAAGCATGTTTCGAAATCAATAAGATGCAAAGACAAATAACTCAAACTGAAATTTCAAACCTCCTTAAAAAGTACATCCTCAGACTCCTCTGGACTCAACTCTGCAAGAAAACAACAATATCTGTATCACATTCATATCATTACGACAAACAATTTTGGAATTCTATCAATCATAAAATAATGACATATAAACTGAAGAACTTGTTGATTAGGATCACACAATGCTTAAAAAAGGACAGAATTAATGACTGTCAGGACATGGTTTCTGGTTAATGCATATCTTGTCAAGCTAATTTGATAAGATGCTGATGTATGATGAATTTTCCCTATTCCATAATGTAGTAACAGTTTCAAAGTTTTATTTTTTCTTATCAAATATGGTAAATTATGGATCACCTTACGATTCAATTTCTGAAAAAAGAAAGACGTACCAATAGCCTCCATAAACTTTGGGTCAGCAGGCGATTTGATATCTGATAACAACAGTATGTATCAAAACACAGTAGGAATGTTGGATGATAGCAAACATTGGAAGAAAAGGGAACCACACATGTCAATATGTTACAGAAATACAATGCATACCTGAAAAGGATAGCCGACTAGAGTTTGGACGCCGTTGCTGGGCCAATGCAAGCACAATAGCCTCCTCAACCTTCATTGCAGCAACATCATTAATTAACCACAGAAAAAAAAAACAAAACAAAAAAAAGCCAGCAGGTTCACGAAGAAACAACAGTAGAGCAAATGGTGTGCCTGAGTTGGAAAATGACATCAGAAAAAACAATATATAAGAATAAAATAAGATCAGCAATGCATTAGAATGGAACCTTCAAGGACGCCAGCTCCTTCAATCCCATTTCAACTGCAAGCATACTTTCAATGTTTCCTTCTCCAGTTAAATCATTCAAGTCTTGAACAAGTTTGTTTCTCTTCTCAAGATCATCATAACCTGTTCAACATAAGAATTAGAGCCTGCAATAAGTCCAATGAAATTTTCCTGTCACTGAAGAAAAGAAAACAAACATATATACTAAAAAAAAAAAACTCTGTTATGATGACTACTAGCCTTTTTCCCAGGATTCCTCCTTAGCCTTTTGTCCTGCAGAAATGACAACCTCAAATGGAAGAGGAGCTAGTGATGACCAGTATTCGTACTTAGTTACTGCAATATCTGCACAAATACCTACAAGGCATAACAGAAATTGTTTAAAGTTGAACCAAAGATGATACGCGAGTATCATAAAAACATATTGTGCAAGCAAAAGCTTTGACAACTTAAGAGATTGCTCTCCTTTTATCGTGTTGTAACTCTAGTTAGCTGTTAATTAGGGGAACTGCTTGTTCACCTCCATTGTATTAGTTTTCATTTTGTTTCCTATGGAACAAAATGCAAGCAAAAGCAAACAAAAACCAAATATCAATGAGTAATTAATTGTCGGAATTAATTTGAAAAGAAATAAACATATAAAAGTACTACGAGTTCCTTTCTATATGCTAGAAATTACGACATAGCATACCATGCATTGCAGCTAAGCCCCAATTGCGTGCAAGCCAACATCTCTTGAGAACTACTTCTTCCTGAAGTACAGATATACCAAATAATGAATCCCCAGATGGCTACTCATATGCTCTATGCAAGAGTGCATATACTGAATAATTAATCACCAGATGACTATTATAGGCTCCATGCAACTATGCATACACATACCATTTCTTCCTGAGTCAATATCATTCTTTGTGTCATTAGTCGTAGGGATTTCACTTCAGATTCAGCTCCATCAAGTTGTTGCATAACAACCGCACTTGCTTCTTTTGCTTTCTGGTTCAAACAAGAAACACTACACTATCAAATTGCATGCCACATTTATATTTGGTTATGCATCAGACTTGGATTTAGCAATTCCTTTTAGCAGATTGACAATGCCAGCATGGTAGCATAAGTACCTCAACTTCAGACCGAAGAGATGCAGCCTCTGTATCTACCTCATCCTTTGACAGTTTTGCATCTTTAAATGCAACCTATAACAATATAAAAAACTCATTAGACGGTCTTTCTTAAATAAATACAAATACAAATACAAATTAATGCACATTATGGTTTAGTAAACTCATGGTAGACCTTAGTTACCAGCAAAACATTTCCACTCATAGAGTGACCTATGAACAATTGTAAGTTGATTGACTCGTATTTAAGGTAAGATAAAGAGCATCTCAAGTTTACTTAATTACCTCTTTTTGTCGCAAGGCAGCTTCCTTTCTGCAAAGCAGGGACAGATAAGGTCAGTATCACCCAAGAAAAATGAGAAGGAAAGGTGCATGCCTGAAAATTATTTGAACTTTAGTACACCTGCTCAAGAATTTAGCATCCAAAGACACACCTTCTCCAAACCCAGCAACCTGAAGACTCACAAAAATATGGCAAATTCATAATTAGTGATAAGCACACTCTTATACGTTATGCAGCACACCATAATAGCAAAACAATTACCTGCTTTTCAAGTTCCCTAACTCTAGCATTGGCTTCGTCGCATCTCTCTTCTTCCTGTCTGAGCTGTAAGATAAATTCCAGAATGGGATAAATTACAGATAGATTATATTAAACTAATTACTAAGTTAAGAAAATACAAGGACAAAATCTTGCACCTTATCAAGAATATTCTCATGCTCTTCTTGTAGTATATCGAGCTGCAGGGTAAACAGTTATTCCAAATACAACTTCAAGGATAGGAAATAGAAAATGATATCCTGCTTTATCTTAAAGAGGATACAAATGACACATATCCAATGCATTCAAACTCAAATGGATGTAATTCATGTGCATACTTCATCATGAAGTGCAGAAGCCTCTCGATGATCTCCCGAATCTTTTGCTTTGAAATGTCCCATTTCTGATAAAAATCTGCAATTCATTCCCAACCGTTATATCCAGTATTGTTAATCATATAAACTTTGTCAGTCAAGCTAACACAAAATGTGTATTTAACAGAATTACTGCTGATTGCAAGGATTGGCTCTGGTAGAAACAGAATAGGTACATAAAACAATTCAAATTATATTAGTTAGTCTGCATGTGTGAGTGTGTGGGGTTATATCAAGCCTTAAAAATGACCTTATTAGCAAAACATTGGGCTGCTTACGTAGTATGCGTGCATTCAAAAGCTTGAAAAAGAATGACAATGAAAATTAAGGTAAATTACGAGATGAGCAAAAACACTAATAGAATGCAAAGAAAGTATCCTATAGCCTATTCCTACACCTTTTAGATACATGTAGTATACAGTAATGGCAGACCTTCAACTGTTCAATTATATAAATGACACGAGAAAGAAGATTGTTTACCGATTCTCTTTTTTCCTATTATTGGTGGGAGGGTCCAATGGTGGCATGGAAGTTGCAGTCCTAACTGATGTTCTATTGGGTGGTGCCAATGGAGGTGCTGCACGGAGAGACATTGATGGTCTTCCAGTTGATGTTGAGCGAACCTGTGGAGTTTCCTCTACAGGGTTTTGTGCTAACTAATCAAATATCAGAAAAGGCAATCAGCCCCCCACATTGAAACCAAAACCTCCCCAACCATTCAAATCACCAGTTCATAGACACACACATCCCCTCCAAAACCAACCCAGAAAAAGGGCTTAGCCGGTTAAATTCACAGTCAATCAACTATTGGACTCAGTAAAATCCTCTGAACCCAGAAAAGATCCTAAATTTCTCAAAAAAAAACTAAACTAACAAAAAAAATTTATCATATTTAAACTCAAAGAGCAGAATTTGACATAATTGAGAGTAAATCAGAATACAAAGAGCAATGTGGCACCAGAACTTTCAAGTACAAAGAGCAACTAAAATCCACATTATGTTCTTCTGCCTCAAAAACTCAAGCTTTCACTTCAACCAACTCATTTAACTACTAATTAATTACTATACCACAGACAAATTTCAATTTTGAAAATCTCAGGTGAAAAAAAAATACACACATAATTGAGAGCTCAGAGATTTACCGCCACGGGCGAAGGCGATCTAGTAGTGGTCCTGGAAGACGGAGCTACAGGCTTCGCACCAGGACTGTTGACATTTCTTGACAGAGAGAGTGGCGGCGGAGCACTGTATCGAAATCCGAGGTCGTCCTCTTCGTCGTCGTCGTCGTCGGCGGTCTGAGAGGCCATTACCTGAGCGAGGCGCTGAGCCGCTGCCTTGGCGGCAAAATTCTGAGTGCGTTTGATGTTGGAGATGCCGCTGGCGGAGGATGACCGAGCGTGGTGACCACGCACCGGAGACATTGCCGGAGATGTGGCGCCGCCGAGAGTGCTGCTAGACTCGCTCGTCCATTGGCGGGCGTAGACCGGACTGTCGGTTCGTCTCCGGTCCATATAGTGTCAGTTAGTTAGTTAAATATAAATATAGGCAATGGGCACCTAGATCGTCGGTTTGCAGAAACGTAGAGACAGGAAGGCTCCAAGTTCGGAGCTTTAAGCTGAGACTGAGGAGAGAGAGAGAGAGATAGAGAGAGATTTTTTGGGTCTCCTTGGCCAGACCGCTGTCTGTAAACTCTACTATACGCTATCCTTTTTTCGGTCCAAGTGTGATTTTGGTAAAACTAGAGTAAATAAGGGTGATTAATTATGGTAATGTTGGGCTTGATTTTGGAAATCATGATAATTAGATTGAATATGCAGTTTTATGTAACATACTATAACCTCAGTATTATAAATTTCAGTCCAAAAAAAATTACATAGGATTAATTACATTTTAGCAATTTTTTTGGGTCGTCTAATAACATTTTACCTGCCTTTAGCCAGTCCGATTTAGTTTATAATTTTAGAAATCAATTCATAATATCAAAACAACGAGTGACTGCCGAATCGAAACTGTCCTCCTTTTTTTCTTTTTCTTTTTTATACTAAAAAATTACCGTAGTCCTTGCACCTATTTTTCGTCCTCAAATTTTCCTTCCCTTAAATTCTTCTTAGCTACCACCACCAACTAAAATTAGAGATCTCCCTCCCTCCTCTTCAATCGTCTTTCTCACCGTTATTGTCGTTGTCATCGTTATTATTTGAAAATCTCTTTTCTCCTCGTTACATCTCAAACTGTAAAAACCGAACTGAACCCATTTATTAGCGTATCGACAATGATCCATGTATACTTTTAGCAATTAGACTCGATATCTATAAAATAGGATTATCGATATAATTGATTTCGAGCAAAATATTGACCTGGTTATAAGAACTTGTAGCTGAAATTTGAACCTAATGGAGAAGTGAATCTTACATGAGAATTCACTTTAGCAAAGTTAAAAAGAAAGCCAATTGGACTCCCCCTCTAGTACTTGCTAGTACTATACTCCGCTAGTTATAAACCAAAAATACCACAAAGCCCGCCCGACATCAAGAAACAGATCTAAGCCGCAGCAATCGCGGGTCTAGGAAAGAAAGCAAACAAAGAAATGAACAAGAAGCCCGGTAGGAAAACATCAACAATAGATTAAAACAAACACGGCAAAAGCATACCAAAAGTTAACCACTACGAGTAGGTTTTGAGTTTGATTATAACACCGTCACATAGTGTTAGTAATATCTAAGAAATTAGATATTAGCAAAAATTTTGGTAAGGTGAACATTCAAATTTACTAAGAAGCTTCATTCTTTTTGGTCAAATACTAAGAACCTGCATATGTATGATGATAATAGATAATGTATGTTTAAAATTGAAAGGTTATCCAATTAATCAAGATCAAGAGCCAGTGCATCCAGTGAGCCTTCCGAGGAAAGAAGGCCCTTTGGATTTGGACCTTGAAAACTGAGATTGGTTTTGCCTTTTGAGATCATCGGCCTTATGCCCTGCGAGAGGACTCTTCAACCTTTTGTTCTCATCCCTCAGCTTCTGAATTGTTTCATTCTGGTACTTGTTTCTCCTTATCAACTCAGCCTGCTGCTGAATATTTTCATCTATGAGTTCTGAGATCTTTTCGTCCCACATTTTCTCACCATCGGATTCTTCATAGGATTCTTGGTCTGTCTCAGCCTGCTGTGTCTTCAAAGCCTTGACTTCCTTTTCACACCTGTGGATGGTTTGGACTTTCAAGGAGTGTAAGGAAGAAAATGATCTCAGATGGGAGGCTTGAATTAGTTCAGACCTAAGCTGATCATACTTCTCAGCGAGCGAGCGGTGCGACTTGTAGAAGTCTTCTAGCAAGTTTATCAGCGTAGGTTTTCTTTTGTAGAACATCTCTGCCCTCTTTGCAAATGAATCTCCATCTTCTTCTATAATATTTAGCATGAGCTTAGTCTTCTCGTTCAAATCTGCAAAAATATATCACATCTCTGTATGGTTAGAATTCACTCCTTCATTTGGGTGACATATCATGTAACTGGAATCAAAATCCCATTCAATAATCCTGCTATTAGATTGTGAGTATTATGCTCCCCACGGTTGATAAACCGCGGGCAAGATCAAACGGATTCTTAAGTTTGTACAATATCGAAGAAGAACTAGAACTGTATGATGAGCCATGCACATTTGCACCATGAAGAGCTGAATTTTAAGCATGCAAGAAATCATCCAAATCAAAGAATTCTAATGTAAATCTAGAGACGGGAGGAAACAAAGAAAATAATCTGTGTGCATAATGTAACAAATCAAACGTGCAAAAACTAATGAACTTTGGGTGGGGTACTGGAAACCCTAGCCTAGATGAGGATTGAGGAAGATGAAAAGGTAGAAACCTGAGAGAGTAGCTTCAAGCCACTGAGATTGATGGGGATGATTATGGCTATCCCACCACCATGAAAAAGCGGCAGCCTGGTCTTCTCTGTTCGTCTCTATTGAACCCATCGTCTTCTACACAATAAAACCTTCTCCCTCCACTGAGGTTTTGTTTCTGCTGGGGGCACTATATATATAATAAGCTATATATGAAACCCTGTTTCTTTGAATCTGTATTGACTTATAACACTCTCTGTCAACATTATCCTGATTTTCAGGACTTCAAAAAAATAAAATAAAATCCATCTAAAATACGACAACTTAATAGCGTTGAATCTTTAGAAACCCTCAAACTTCCTGTGGGCGCAAACTGTTCTTGAGTTTGAGTTTGAATTTAAACAGTCTTCTATGATTTTGAAAGTTAAATTCCTCCTTTAACAAATGAATGCATTATACATGCGTTTAAAAAAAAATGTATTTGGCTAGAAATTTGACATATATATATATTATTATATTGAATCAAACTTTATAATTTTTTAAATTAATTTGGAATAATCAATGGGTTTTGATTTGAACGAAATTGACAAGTCACAAGAAGTCTTTGTTATTTTTAGAAGTTAATTTATCGCATTAAATGCGAATCCCTTAGATTTTCACTGCCAATTTAAATGCAGATTCTTGAGAATTTAATGGCCCGTTAGAATAGAATGTGAGGTGATTGGGGATCACATAAAATAGACAAGAGGTTGATCTTCACATCCCTACTGATTTTATGCTAATTTCACTTTCCTCCTCATCCCAAGCTCAGCTCGGGTCCACAGGTTTGGCCTCAATGGGAATTTATTATTTTCTTTGGGTTTCTCACCAACCAAACAAGTTTTAGGCAACCCATTGGGTGACTTTTCTATTCAGGTAATCTCATTGAATTCTTGACAACTACTCGTTTTAGAATAAGTACCCATGTAGGCTAGCCGAGGCTCTGGGCAGAAAACAAAACCCCAAAAAAAAGTTATTAAAAAAAAAAAAAGAAGCATTCAGGTAGGATATTCTTGCCTACAGATACTGAAAAAGAAAGAAAAGTTAATTCAGGCAGAAATTCTTTCATTGGATAATTTGTGTATTCAAATTCGTTTATTCAGGGTGTTTTCTTTTTGGCAAACCAATTTAATTAGGTGGGATGCAATAGTTAAATGAAAAGTTAGCTCAACCAGGCAACCATCACAAACCAGCCCGGTCATTTTCCCCAAAAATGACCCGACCATATATCCAAGTACTTGCCTCAAGCTTTGAATGACCATTTCTCCCTTCCTATCTCCCCAACCCCAATATACAGTTTTCTATCCCCACATTTCTCTTCATGCCGTTGTCATCATCTACCGTAATTTACCTCCAAGTTCCAACCAGCATCACTTGGGTTTGTCTCTGGATTTCAATCTCTTATTTTACGTTTTGGATCTCGAAAACTTGCATTCTGTACACAATCTTTGTTCCCCCAAGTGACTGGGATTTGTCAGGCAAGCAATCTCTCTTATTCAATAGGGAAACCCCTAATTTGATAGGGAAACAATCCTCAACGCCCAACCAGAACCACCAAGCTCAACCAGAGTTTCCCCACCTCATTCCTCTTCTGGAGATACAACCCATCATGAAGGCAAACTTTGGGGACTCAAGGTTCATTCCCACGCTTAAGAAAACTGGCAGGCAATTTAATGTGCAACTGCCACTTCATGGGAGGAAAATGTGAATCAAAACAAGGCAAAGCAGGGTCAGGTTTAGGGTTGGCTGCTCCCAGCATGACCTAAGGGGTTGTTCCATCCCGGGGGTGATTCTTGATTCTCTGTTAATCAGTTTTAGTTTATCAAAAGGGTTAGGGTGGTGATTGTTTATGGTTTAATGGCAAAATCTTGCTCATTTGCCCTCCGATACAGCAAAGCCGATGCTTCCACCCTGGTTCATAATGGAAAAGAAAGGGCCATGTCAAATTCCAAAATCCAAGGAAATGAAAAATAAACAAATAAATAAGCAAAGGTCTAATCTCTCACCAGCCAGGATGGACAACATATTTTCCAGAAGAAAGAGCCCAATTCACCTGATCAAAACAATTAATGTCATGCCTCAACTCAGAAGAAAGCAGAAAAGGGGGAAGAAGGGAAAACACTGAAATAGTATCTCTAAATAGTCCCTTTTTTTCTTTCTTTCCCTTTTTAGGGTTTTTCGGGAAGAGGTGATGGAGTTTTGGGTTATTCTTCTCTCTCTCTCTCTCTCTCTTTCTTTCTTTCTCTTTTTCAGTTATTGTGAGTGAGGCTGGGTATAACTCACATAAGATATCTAAATAATCCCCCTAAATAATATTTCAAGTCTTAGAAGTTGGTTCTAATGGCAGAAGCTTATGAGAAACAGTACCTTGTCGGTCCCAAGGGAATTGGCAACTACATGGGTGACCTGGTCATCTATCTGGTTGGTACACACAGCACCAAACTGCTCAGCTGTCTGCCACAGAGGATGTAGGTGAGGTTTGACCTCACCAACTGGAAAGACCCTGCTAAATACTATACGACATCCGGCCAAAATCTTCCGTTGCTCAGAGGCTAGAATATTTCTAACATCTGCTTCATCTAGGGAGGAATGGGAGAAAAAGAGCTGATGTATCTTCTCAATAACCTATAGCCAGAACAACAGATAATTATGTATCCTCTTAAAAACCAAAAGAAGAAAATGAACAGATAATCAAGCAGAAAGATGTCCAATTATTTGCAATCTCAAAGAGTTGAACAGCATCCTCACCGCCAATGAGGATGCCAAAGTCCCATCTTCTTGTCTCTCATCATGATCTATCTCAAGAAGAGAAGGACCTAGAAGCCCAAATTGTCGTCTGCTACAAGGAAAGTAGGTATACCTGCAAAATAACAATACGTAAGAATTGGGTAACAAGGAAAGCAAGCCAATCAAAACACAAAGACAGTAAAGTTTATATCATAAATCAAGGAATGCTTACCGTTCTACAACTATCAAGTTCAGTTTGTTATGCGGCCAGACCCTCACAGAATCATCTATAATTACAACAGCTGATTCCATACCCAAAACTCCTTCAAGATCCTTACTCTTGGGAATCCTCTCATCACCATCTTCAGGATCCCCATCATCGCCTCTAGAAATAACTCGTCCAGCAAAAAGGGCCCCGGTTGGATCTAGCACTTTTGCCATTTCCGTAGCATATAGCTTGTTCCCCATTGTGTAAAGATGCAACTCAAAAAGTTGACTAGCCTGATGTCCAAATAGGCAACGCAATGACTCCACTTTCAAATCAACCATAAAATCATAATTTATGCATAAAATTATATTCAAAATTACCTTCTCTAAAAAATTCCAGATCCCAGGCCGCAATTTGGTCCACATTCCCATATGACGGAAGAGATGTCGCCGTGGTTTTTCACGATCCTGTTCTTCTTTCTTTCTCAAAATCTCATCATGTACTGGATCTACTTCAACAAACTGAAAAGGATAAACTAAGTTATAACAAAATTATAGAGGAAATATCCCTTTAGAATAACAGGCCACAAAAGACCAACTCCATACATCAACAAGACACTACCTTAGCTGAATTAAGAAGTGTATGATCTAGATCTAGGACAAGGCAGAGCTTGTGTGCTGCAAACATTTTCTTCTGTTCTTCTATCCTCCTTGTTCTCTCTCTCTGGATAGCAGCTTTTTGCTGGTCATCATATCCTTCAAACAGATGTTCAACATCTCCCCACATGACCGGCGAACGAGAGGGACCTGCTGCAGCTGCTTCAGAAGCAGAAATACTTTCCGGACGCTGCTCCTCAGGTTTCAGATCTATTCTCTCTGGCTTGATTGGAACTGGTTGGGAAGAAACACTCTGAGAAGCTATTGCTGGACTTGTTGATACATTAGAAACAGACATAATATCAGCAATATTTTTCAGATTCTTTGTGAATTGACGTGTAATGTCAGGGGCATCTAATGATTGTGCAGTCACTGGCTTCTTATCCGCCTGACCATTCAGATTATCCTTATTCCCCTGGATGCTCGACAATGGGGGTACAATATTTCTGAACTGCTCATGTCCCAAACTCCCACTCTTTTGAAGTGCATTACCATGGAGAGCACGGCGAGGGTCGCGTGGTTTCATGCGGACTTTTCCGGACTCATCCTGCAAAAGTTGTAAATTATTAAAAATGCAAGGAGTTTCTGCATCACTTGTAATGGGGCTCATGAATAAATATAGCAAACAAAGAAATCTAACAAACCTCCCACAGAAAAAATAAAAATAAAATTTTACAATATGAGACTAAAATAACGGAATTTGGGTTTACTGCTGAAGAAATTATTCTAAAATTCATATCTAACGAGTTAAAAAAAAAAAAGAAACTGGAATAATCATAGAGATCATCAAAAGTAGGGAAAAATTGCAAAGGAAGCACATACTTAGCTCAATCTAGTTAGGAGAAGGGATATAAGTAAGCACTCACCATTAGAGCTTTTTGTGAACTAACGGGAAGTGTTCCTGCAGGTGTCTGCAAAATCCCTGAGGTCTTTGAAGGAACATTCCCTAATGCAGCTGATACCAGTATCGAACTTGAGCTTGTAGGATGCGTCGTAGTTTTTGGAGGATCAGCAGACTTCTGCTGGGCTTCTGCAGCTAACCTTTGTTGTTGTCCCATCTTAAGTAAGTTTAACAGCATGGTTGGATTCACAGCGATATCTTTTAATAATGCAGGCAGGGAAGCCGTGCTTGCACCCATCAACGACACATGCTCATTTGCACTGTTTGGGCCATTGGTGTTGCCATCAACAATACTAGGACTACTTAAAACCTTAACCACTTTTCTGGGATCAGTTTCTGCATTCTCCACAGTCTGGTTCTTGCTATTTAAATGAGGTCCAACGCCACCAATGTCCTCCAACCAGCCACCACTTCCAGAAGCAGTTTTTGCATCCCCAACAATCCCTGAGTTTTCCAATGCATTCCTTTGCCTTTTTAATGCAGGACCATCAAATCTAGACTCCTCCAGGGGTTTTTGCTTTCTTGAGCTTAACGTTATAACAGAATCCACTTTAGGTGCACTATGCACTACTGTCGAGGGTTGTTGGTTAAGATTCAAGGC